ACAGGCAACAAGTGAAGACTTTGGCCAGTAAGTAAATATTGAAACACTCGTTGTTTGCGAATGAAATAAAAAATATACATGTACCATGTGGCACAAAATTTTTGTGGGAGTTTATTTTTGCGAATTGTGTTTCAAGGAATTTAATTTTTGCAATAAGGATGGATAGGCTTCTTTTGACGGGGATTAATTTTTGCGACTTCTAGAGAGAACCCAGTACCCAGCATTGATAATATTTTCGTTTTCATTGAGTATGTGCAATACTCTAAGACAGAAATTAATATTAGGATACGGTGTGCATACCCTATGCAAAACAGTATTTCATGTTATACCATTTTGTTTCTGAACTGGGGGAAAGAAACAAGTTGTAATTGAACAGACACATTTATGCAGCGAATTTAAGTTAGAAAATATTTACATTGGAGTAAGAAATTTAAAAAAATGGCAAACATTAGAACCCACAAAAATTTCGGTAAAATAAAATAATCAAAACAATTAACAATTTTTCATCTTCCAGTCAAATTGTCATGGGCTGTTTAAAAACAAGAAAACTACCTTTATAAGCATCATTGACACGAATATATTATTATATGTAACAACTATTCTTTTCAACCTCAGCGAATAGTGGCCACAAGATTATTATTTTGCTTTATATTCAATGCCTAGCACAGTTATTTTACACTATAATTAGAATGCATATCGCACATCTGATTTGAGAAAATCAGCTGGCCCTCATGTGGCATCCTTCCTGTTTTTTTTCTTTTTCTAGGATATTCACTAGAATGATCCTCATTCCCTTTCAATAAAGGGAAGGGAAACAGAGCACAAGTGAAAGGCTCGTGGGGAAACCGAAGTTTGAAGCCTTCCTTAGAGCAGCGCCTAAAAGTGTGGGTGTTTTTACAGGACTTCATGAAGCTTATGAGGAAATGACAAAAAGCCCACTCTTCAAAACCATTGAACAAGAGATCCAATCACTTGATCTTGATGTTCGGTCACAAAGACAAATTTAGCAGTTGTCCTTTATTTCACTGGCAAGGTACTAATAAAGTCAAAGTAGATAAAAATAACAATTAATAAAATAATAATTAAAACTGTAAAATTCTCAAACGCCCTGGTTACTTTCTACTTAACCAGGCAAAAGGGGCCACTACTTTAAGGTTGTTATCTTGGGGTTATCATTATCTTTGGATGGTTAAAAAAGACCTTAGTAGTTTATTTGAGGATAGCATTTATTGGTAATTTTGCTTCCATGTGCGACATTTGTTTGAGGGTGGCGTTTAATCGAATAATAATAGTTCACAGTTTTAATTGAGACAGTTTCGCATATGTTGTACTGGAGTTCACCGATTATGACTCATTCAGGCTTTTGGAAAATTGATTTGTTATTATGAATGGTGCTAGCTGTGTTTTGGAAAAAAAAATTATTATTATAGTGTAGCTAAAATAAACTTCATCTGATGTGACTTTAATACTTTTCTGAACTGCAATTATTGCATCAGAAAGTGTATGAATTTATCAATTTATTATTATCCAGGCTGTAAGGATGTGAAACTAAGTCTGCGGAAAAATAATATGTCACACCTTCTTTAGTGTATAATATTGTCACAGACCTTGGAGTATATTGGAATTAAAAACAGGTACTAGGCAGACATACTTCTCTTTATAAAAGAAGTGATGGTTCCAAAGTAAAAAGCTCCCAGGAACTCCCTTCTCTAGGTGGAAAATGGCAGTGAGGGACTTGTGGTCTGTAACGAGCATAAACTGCCTCTCATAGAGGTATACATGGAACCATTTCACCCCCCCCCCCCACAACATGGACAATGCCGCCTTGTCAATCTGTGCATACTTGTGTTCTGTTTTGGTCAACGATCAGGATGCAAAAGCTACCGGCCTTTCGCTGCCACAAGGATTGACGGGTGAAAGAACCGCACCGATGCCAGTTGGTGAAGCCTAACTGGTAATGCTGGATCATAACGCATTAACACCTGCTCAGATGTAATCATGCCCTTAGCCTCAGTGAAGGCTAGCTCACACTGTTCAGACCACTGCCATTCCCTGCTTTCCCCTAACAACTGATGAAGTGGGTGGAGAACTATGGACACATTGGGCAAGAAGCGGTTGTAATAGTTAATGAGCCCTAAAATGAGTGAAGCTGAGACACATTCTCAGCTCTAGGCGCGCTAACTACTGCCTCAATCCTCTGTGTCTTGTGGAGACCTTCTCTGTTGATCTCATGCCCACAGAACTGAACTCTATCCCTGAAGAAGTCACACTTCTCCTTGTTGGCCTTCAGACCCTCGTCTTGTAGTCGTTTGAGCATGCTCTCTGGGTTCTCCAAATGCTCTTAATCAGTTTTGCCCAAAACGATCATGTCACTGAGGATACGCTGGGTGCCAGGTATTCCCTGGTCTATGGCACGTTGCCAAATTGCTGGACATTAAGAAATGCAAAAAACTAAGCACTGGTATTGGAAGAGGCGCTTGTGTGTAATTCCTCTGTTACTTCCACCTGGTGATAAGCTTGGTGCAGGTCAAGTTTGCTAAAATGCTTACCCCCAACCAAATTCGCAAAATTATCCTCTATGTGTGGCAGAGGATACTGTTCTGCAAGAAGTACTGGATTGACTGAGACCTTGAAATTGCCACACACACGCACTGAAAAAGGGAAAACCCAGATGCCACTCCTTTGGACAACTTTATGTTACCTTTAAAACAAGATTTACTTTGTGGATTTGAAACATACTTTGTACTGTGCTTTGGAACTGACTGATTCCTACAAAATGCCAATATAACGCAAAAACAAACAATGCAAATTTATGAAATAAAATTACCATTTTATTTCAAACCTCCCTTGAGTTCTAATGGGCAAGGGATTTTTACTAAGTAGGCAGGCAAAAAAATACAAGGGCAACCAAAAACACAAACCTGGTTGCCCAAAGGGCAAACTAGAAAGAAAGTTAGTGTTGAACACTTTCTGGGCCTTTCCAAATGCTTGGCACCATTAAACTTGCAATCCGCAGCGAGACGCTTTAAAACAGCAACATACTGACTCACTGTTTCTCCTGCGTTACTCGCTTGGTTGTCAAACTCATACCTGGAGACTAAGGCAGATTTCTGGGGCTTCAATTATTGCTTTTGGAGACACTCTACGATTGTGTCGCACATGAGAGAATCTTCTCTTAACATCAGGGCAAACAAGTCTTTTGCCAGTTGGAACATTTCAGTGGGAAGATCAGTTAACAGGACGGCTTTCTTCTGTTTCAAGTCGGTCACTCCACTGGCCAAGAAGAAGAATTCCGGCTGTTCTGGATATGCCTTAAAATCAACTCCCACTACAAACTTCTGAGCTTTCCTGGTGTTATGAACCAGATTTGGTCCCGCCTAAGACTCGTTTGGCATCTTGAAACATCGTGTGGATCTTGTTTAGAAATGTCTTCACTTTTTCACAGTAAAATATCCCTTAAGATCCCATCCTCGACGCCAAAATTATCATGTACTGACGAGAGATCTGAGAATGCACACAAACAACATGAGGGTTCACTATTAACACGTTTTATTGAATCTATGTGTGCGCATGTACTTACTATATATGGAAAACGCACAGGGAGACCATAACAATGACACAGCACGATTTGCGTGTCACAATGTCATGAATATGTGTATATTAAATAAGACATGGACTGTCATGGTAGCTTTTGTTTGGCATACTAAAGCTTTTGTTTAAAGCAGTGTGCGCTATGACATGGCACATGTCATAAGCCATTGTGTTATAAAGAAAGTGTACCATATGACACGCATTTCACACCCATGATGAATATAAAATCCTACGATTTGCTCGCAGCCAACTGAAACTTTAAACAAGGAACACACATGGGTGCTAAAAACAAGAAATAAACGACAATATTCAAAATAATTTGCCCTTACAAAATAAACAAACAAGCACTTGCTTTGAAATCACTTCTGTGACTTCCACTGCAGTGCAACAGAAGTTAATACCAAAATCAATATCAAAATCATGACTTTTTCCTCTCGTTTTGCTTCTAGAACTGCTAGGTGACTGTTGTATGTTTGTAAAATTGTGATGCATGCAAAAAGCAAGCGGTTTCATAGCACCAGAACAGTAAATTTTACTTGCATCTTCAGCATTTTCTATCTTGCTATTGACAATAATCTCGGAGATTATCTATGCCTCTCTATTAAGACTCGCAATAACATTGTAGATTTTGAGGCCCATGAAAAAGAGTCACAACAGTGATTTTAGCTCAGTTTCAATCTTTTCATGGCTCCGCACATGACGCCTGTAAATAAACACCTTCACACATTACTGATGTTTTATTACAAACATTTTTTAGTTCAAAAGAGAAACTTATTACAAAAATACAAAGTCAATTTCCAAAATTCATTTTTTTTAATCACCTTTAAACTAGCTCAACTTTGCTCAAATCCTTTTTGTATAAAGTGCTGTCGGTCAGTACAAATCACTGTACATGCCAATGGCTGTGTTATTTTTCTCAAGAACCAAATACTTTCCTCCAAATCCTTTACTTTATTTCGTTGCCTTATTCATTAATAAGCTTAATACTAAATTTAATAATCTTTTTTTACAGAATGATTTTAATTACAAAAAGAAATCACAACTCATTTTAAAGAAATTTCCCTGCAAGAGCTAAACAAATGCCTTTAAAAGTGTTTTTTGTCGGCAAAAAATCAATGGACGCAGCCATTCAGTCATCGCGCAACAAAATTGTAATCATTGGCAACAGTAACTGAGTTAAAAATCATTTTTGTGCTTAATTATCTCACTGTTTTAGTACATACAAAAACCTTTCAAAACTAGAATTCACAAGACATGTTTTTGAAGAAATACACCAAGGTGAGCAAGAAGAGCTCAAATTGGCTCTGTGCGGGCTAAGTGAAAAGTACCAGCTGGCAAATGTTGCAGCTCATCTTCTGGTTCCAGTGGAAACTTGGTTTGACTGGACTGAGATACAAAGGGACGAGTACATGAAGAAAGTGAATGCCATGTCAGTGGAGGATATGTTGAAAGGCAAATGTGTATCAGTCGGGACAGCAGATAAAACCAGCACATGTTCGAATCGAGAATTTCAAGAACTCTCCTTTGACGCGGCCAAGGTCCTGAGAGAAAAGAACATCTGTCCAGAAGATATCATTACCGCTGTCATCGAAGGGGCCGTCGCACTTTTAAATTTACCGGCAGCAATACAACAGAAGGCAACGCTTGATGCATACAAGGCGACTAATACCTTTGAGGTGGCATCTAAGGATGCCAAAAATGGGAAGGTGGAATGTACGGTCAACAAAGATCATGTTAAGTGCCGTTGCCACAGCTTCAAGTATGACAGTGTTTGTAAACACTCCATTGCCGTTGCAGAACGAGTAGG